CAGGTGACGAATCAGGTGTTTAGGTATGCAAAGAAGGCTGGTGCCAACTACATCAACAAGCCCAAGATGCGGCACTACGTACACTGCTATGCGCTCCACTGCCTGGATGAGGAGACCTCAAACGCCCTCCGTAGGGCTTTCAAGGAGAGGGGCGAAAATGTGGGCGCCTGGCGGCAAGCTTGCTACAAACCGCTTGTCGCCGTGGCTGCCAGGCAAGGATGGGACATCGACGCCATTTTCAATGCCCATCCACGCCTCTGCGTGTGGTACGTCCCCACCAAGCTCCGCCAGCTTTGCCATGCGGAGAGGAGCAGTGCCACCGCCGCCTCAAGCTCCATCACTGGCGGTGGGATTGTTGATCATATGCCGTATTAGTGTATGTGTTTGTCGTGTGTGTGGACTTTATTTGGTAGCATTTTCTCTTCAGTTTTTTTAGTGTGAAGGAACCATTTTATTCTTTACTTGTTGGTAATGATGGTATGTGGTGCTAGTTTCAGTTTTCATATTTGGTGATGATGATATTTGGTTCTTGTTTATGTTTTCATGTTTGGTTGGGACAAGGCAAAATCATGAGCTAGGTCAGTCTAGTACAGCATTTTCATGTCTATCCAAATGATGTTGAGAAAGCAAAAGAATGATGGTTGGTTCCTCATCCTCTCATTTCAAGAATCATCTAAAAAAATAAGTCGCCTCTTGAGAATCATCTAAAGTTGACAAGAAAAATATTTCTCCTTAATCATTATGGCATCTAGAATAATCAATATGCCAAAAAAAATTAATCACGTTTGTAACAGAAAAAAAAAAATAAAAAAAATAAGCAAGTTCAAAGTTACAAAAATTCGAATTCTCCAATAGTGAACTAACTTATAATTAAATTCTACCTTGCCATTAACATTTCTAATTTTAAGTGTCATTCTAAGTTTTATTTTCCATTTCATATCATTTTTAATCTACTATTACAATTAATTAAACTCACCCAAGATACCAACAATCATATCAGAGCTCAATCGACACAAAGACTTGGGGCATAACAAATACAGACGACATCATCGTCAAGTGGCACTACTCCTCTACCAGTATTTGGAGTAGAAAATTATGACTATTAGAACATCAATACGAAAACGGTTTTATCAAGAGCTGTGGAAAGTCGTCGTAGATGGAGTCAATATTCCCACAGATATATCAACATTGTCTGTTCAAGAATAAATAAATAAAATAAAAATAAAAAATCTATGTGAAGAGCACTGGAAGGACGCACAAGTGCTCTTCATAATCCAACAAGCCTTGTCAGACAATATTTTTCCAAGTGTCATCAAAGCCAACTGCGTCAAAGAAGCTTCAGAGATTTTACAAGAAGAGTTTCAAGGACATCCAAGGTACTTACAATCAAATTAAAGACCTCAAGTGTGATTAAAAAAANAGACTGTGAAAGAATATTATACAAAATTAATCAGCCCGCATGCACTAAAGATGAAGGGGCAAAAATTTATTGAATAAAAAACAAGGGAATGATATCCTCAAAATGCCCAACGTACCTTAGCATTATCCTGACAGTGGTTATAGTAAAGGATTCATATGTTAATGTGATGAAGTGGCAAAGGATTCATGTGTTATGCACAACGGTACCTTATTATTTTTCTGACACTGGTCAACGCATGCACTAAAATGAAGTGGCGAATAAAGATAAGATAATGATACCATCAAAATACCCAACGGTGAACGGTACCTTATCATTTTCCTGACACTGGTCATAGCGAAGGATTCATGTGTTAGTATGATGAAACTTCCGTACTGGGTGGAGCTGTATTGGGCTCAAAAAGAGGGCCTAATTGTTGAGTCAGATTACAGATCGAGCTGTCCGTATGAGGCCTCGACAGATCATGTACGACTCTCTGGGCTTCTCTGCTAAAAATATTGAGGGGGCCCAAAGAATCATCTGCACATCACTCCACCTCGGGAAGTGACACCTGTTTGTTATTGACCCTTTTCTCTCTCTCTTTTTCTTTTTGTCCCCGAAATTCTATTCAATTTTTAAAAAAATTGTATTGTACTTGGTAGTATATGATATCAGGATATGCACTTCGATTGGTACAGTATCTCTTTAAAAATATTATTTTTGCTACAATATTGATTTATATGAGAAAAAACCAGTTGTATAAAAAATATCAAATCGAACTTTTTAAAACATTATTAATTTTTTATTTTTTTATCTAGTTTTTTTTTTTTATCTTATATATAGCACTGCACTTTTAGTTTTATTATATTAACATTCTTATCTGATTTTTAATCAGATTTAGCATAAACTAAAATTGGTTTTATACATTATTTACATTATAATAATAAATTCAGTTAACATTTGTTAAAACAAGTAAAATAGGGGGTAAAAAATGGTTCGGTGTAACCATGTAGCAATGTCATATCGACACAATTTTCGATTCACTATTTAAACTACTTGTTCCCATCCAAAATTGTTGGGTGGCAAGAAATTTAATTTCTACTCTTCAGCCCAATGTGCTTTTTCTTTTTAATAGAGAAGAAAGCAAAAGGAAAATCAGATTCAATTTTCTTCCAAGAGAACAAGTATCAGTCCAACAGCAATCTCCCAACCAACTAAAACAAGCAATGTTTAAACAAGAGTTCATCTACTTTCCCAAATTGGTTTATCCACCGACTCACTTGTTTTGGTCAAATCTTGATTGTTGATTTTGGTAATATTATATTAAAAAAAGAAAGATAATTGATGTTTGACATATATAATTTCCAGTACAATGCAACATAGACTCAGTCAAATAAAATCCCACATTATAAACTTGTTTTGCAACTTCCGAACGAAACCAGCAAATATTCACGTATCCAGAATACATTAAACAGAAAAGTAAGCAAACACAACGCGCGTCTCTGTATAATTCTCTAGTGTGTGCGCCTTTTTCGTACAATAAAGTGATAAAAAGAAGCACAAACACAAGTGTGGCGAAAAAAAACCCTCGAAAAACCCTTGTCAAGAAGAATGAGTCGGGTACCTCCACAGCACGTCACCCCAGGTGCTCACGCCATCTGCAAACTCCTTCACAACAGACGCCACCTCATCCACGTTAACACGAATCTGTTGTTTGCTGTCCCTTTCTCTAACAGTCACTGAGCTTGTCGAGTCCACTGTAATCGCCAGCGGGACTCCCAGTTCATCAGTTCTCGCATATCTCTTTCCAATCGAGGTACCTACATCATCATTATCATCATAATGCTAATTCTACTACTACTACTACTACTAATAATAATAATAATAGTAATAATGAGGCAAAATTGCATATTAATACACCACCTTTGAGATTTTGCAAATTAATACACCAACTTCACCATTTTTGCAAATCAATACATTGAATGACGGTTCCGTTAACAAAAATCTAACGAAAATCTGACATGGCATTAAGCCACGTCAATCGTCATTCATGTATCGATTTCCAAAAATGGTAAAGATGGTGTATTAATTTGCAAAATTTCAAAAGTGGTGATTAAATTGCAAAAACATGAAAGGTGGTGCATTAACATGCAACTTTGCCTAATAATAATAATAATAATAATAATAATAATAATAATAATATAACACGTGATATTTTCAAAAGCACACAATACCTGTAACGTCAATTTTGTACGTGATCCCAACAGCAGTAAGTGACCTGGCAATCTTTCTAGCAACTTCTTCATATTGTTCGTTTTGAACGAGAGGGAAGACGGTGCATTTGATGGGGGCCACGAGGGGCGGAAAGCCGAAGACGTTGAGCTGTTCGTCCCCATCTCGGCTGGGTCTCGTGTAAAACGAGTGTTCGTAGAGGCAGTAAATGATCCTCCCAATACCGAATGATGGCTCGATAACCGATGGCGTGAAAACCCTCTGGTGCTCTTTTTTCTTCTCCTTGGAGATGGAGACCATATTACTCTTTATGGTCACGGCCCTGTCGAGGGTGCAAACGCGAAACTCGGCCTCTCCTTTGGCTTCCAGAGTTGCTTTCAACTCCATGGCTTCCTTTTCATCCATGGCCTGTTTTACAAGGATTAAGGATAAGGATAAAATAAATTTTGAAATTTCCCAAAACAATATAGATGTATATATTGGTAATGAATTGATATCTCCATCATAAAAAAAACTTGGAGATTTCATCAAAATTTCCTTTTTTTTTTCTTGTTACTTTTTTGGAACGTCAAACCTATACCTTCTACCACCCACTATCGACATTGTTCTAAACCGACCACTTTATATAGATCTAAACGCTGTCAATATCTAAACCATCATTACTAATACATACCATAAAAGATCAATGAAAAAAAAATGACTGCATTTCAACAAGGAGAAATCATTAAAAAATAAATGTTCCAAAATCAATCGGCAGAGCAAGATGCTAGATAAAAGAGTTATAATTTCAGTAAGCCAGTAAAAAAAAAGGGGACTAAGAGTCTGGTAATAGGACTGGGTGTACCTCCAAAGCTTCAACCACCATCTTTTGGCTACCCTTAAAGGCAAGACCCAGCTCTTTCTTAACCGGTGTTATGACAAGTTTCTGAAAAGGACCAAACAACATAACAATCAACTTTTAACCAAAATTCACCAATAATAAAAATACAGAAATGGGGAAGGAATAACCTCGACTTCTCTAGGTTCTGTGAATTTTTCATGTGCAACCAGGAGAACTCCACTTTTATCCTGCAAAAAATATTTCCATAAAATGGTCAAATCACAGAGTTAGCGATTATCAGACATTACCACTACTTGATGGTCAAAAATATTTCCATAAAATGAAACAGCTGCTATATGCTACATCACAAGAAAACTTACAGTGTGGGCACGCAAATCATATGCCGATCTATCAGCAATACCAACACACTCGATCCAACCATAAGAGCATTCAATTTCAGCATCCCAACAGTCAGCTGCATAGTGTGCCATCTCATTCGCCAGATGCTGGCGAAACCTTAGCCGGTCCTTATCAATACCAAGTTGAGTTAAGAAGAGATACACACGCCCGATGAAATAACCCAGTGTCTCGTTATTCACAATTCCCTGAGCCACAGAACAATAATAAATTACTAGTTAGCATTGAAAATAATATATAATTTATTTAAACAAGTAGTGTGGATGATAATTGATAAGTTATAGTTGACTGACCTGCGCCACTGCTTCCCCAATAGCTATTCTCCTTGCTGCTCGTCCGGACACCTGATCTTCCCTTGGGAACATTAAAAATTCCAATGTGGCAACCTCAGCAAATTTAGGGTGGGATTTATCATCAGGATCCACAAAGTGCTCGATTTCGGCAAGTGTAAATTCGCGAACCCTTAGTAGACCTTGCCTTGGAGAGATCTGAAGAAGTCGTTCAGGGAGAAAGAATAAGCTACTGTTCAGTGTGTGCAAACGATCTGATATGCATAGCACATTGGTTTAAGAGGTAGCAGATTTCTAACATTTCACATAAGATCAGCAACTTGACAATAAACCACACTTCAATAGAGCTCTAATATGAGTAGGGAATAAGAACTTGCATTATGAGTTGCGCCATTTATGAAACATTGTTATGCACTCCGTAGCCAAAGGGAAACTTATATAACATTTTCCAGCATATCTTCTAGGAGAGCAATCAAAACTTATGTTCCTAAAAAAGATCAAATTTTAAAGATTGTTGAGAAGTAGAAAATAAACAAAGTGGCTGTAGTGTGTGTTAGGAAAAATGTAGTTTAAGAAAAACCTAAAGCAAGATTTACTTAGTAGAGAGCATTTAGACGTGAGTCTTCTTATCCAATAATTGACAAAAACAACCAAAAGCATCTTCTGGACAGTGAAAAGATCTTTCGGAAAGAAATGTTAGCTGATCGTATATATCTAAATAATACACATGAATGACTATTAGAGAACAAGCCCTTGTTTTCCAAATTTTAACTGAACCACATTGAAATACTGAAAGTTGGTCTTCGCCACAACACATGCATTGTCTAAAAATGAATCTTCTTTTTAGCCATAAATAAATCAGTTACCTTATACATGTCCCTACTGATAATACAACTAGCATATTCCGAATGTTATTCATACTAGGAAATAAAACAGTTGTGGATTTTTATTAGCTCCACCAGTACTAAGGAAATACTTAAGAAATCACGCGATGATGGAAGCATCATGGTAGCAAATGAGACCTCATTTCGAAAAGCTTGACCAATCTGTGCAGCTGCAAAAGGAAGCTTGTTGCCGTTATAGTAGTACAAGTCCTTAAAGTTCACAAAAATTCCCTGAGCTGTCTCAGGACGCATATAACTGCACCCAATCAAATCCAAAAACTAACTAAGACGAAATGAACAATAAACACAGAACTACTGAATCAGTCATAGAACACAATATCCATTAAACCGTTCAATGTCTCACCCAGGGCTCAAGCCAGACGGCCCAATTGATGTCTGAAACATTAGGTTAAAAGGGTAAGGGTCTGAGAGGCTGTTCTTTGTGTCTGGAGCTGTAATTTTATAACCTTTTATTTTAGCACCAAGCTCCTCTGAAGAAAGATCATCTAGCACAGCAAGCACATGCCCGAGCTCAGCTGCCTTATCAGCACTAAGGTTAGGGTCCTTCTCAAGCTTGTCTTTGCAGTAGTCCTTGAGCAGATGATCTGCCCGGTAACACGTTCCAGTCTTTTCATCTTTGACCATGAGGTCGGTAAACTTGTCAACATGGCCAGATGCCTTGAGCACAACCTCTGGTGTGACACAAGGGCAATCGACTTCTAGCATGTTCTCCTCAAGGACAAAATGCTGGATCATAGAAATAAATTTTACAGCAGCTAAATTTAAGGTGGATGAGTACAATGCATGCTTAAAGCTTTAAAATATATTTAGCACTAATTGAACAAAATCAAAATAAAGCTTTTTAATGTTAGTGTCTAAAAATGTCAACTTCAGCTTTTAATTTTGCTTCATTTAGCCAGAATTGGAAAGCACAGAGGGTGGTTTCCTTTCGACAATGCACACGAAAAGCTCACCTTTCAACCTCTTCACCAAAAAACTCACTCTCAACTAACTCAAGTTTCAGTTTAAATTTACAAACATTGCCAAGTTTCGATCTTTCTCATCATCATTAAGTCTAAAAGCATATGTGTGTGCAGAATCCATAGATCACAGCACCCGTTAAGTCCCACATAACGCCTTTAAGATAATCTATGCAAGCAAAACCTTGGGTGAGAACACAAACTGCAGCTGCATTGCATCACTTGAATAAATTAGTCATTAACAACCCATATACCTTCAGAACCACTACATATCGACCAGAAAATGAATTTTCTTCCCTAAATTTGGACTTGCTTGTAAAATCTTTGCATGGTCAGTCCGCCATAGTAAAGTTAACTACCATTTCAAACAAACACACAATTTGAAAGGCCCCTGCGGTCACTATTATTTGTAATCACAAAAGCAATATAAATTTTAATTAAGAAAAAAAGTTCCCAGCTTTACACACCGCCAGGGAAGAACACAGAAGTAAAATCCATAAGCAATAATAAATTGCCGAACCCCAGTTCGAGTTCTCATGAAATTAGCTGGAAAACGAGATTAATTAGAACCACACATGCATTTGCAGACCTGACGCCAGAAGGCGAGGACGTTAGACTTAACGGCACAGCCCGGCGGCCCATAATCATAAAGGCCGGCAACACCGCGGTAGATCTTGAAGGAAGGGATGTAAAATAAACGCCGTTCAAGGGTATTGACGACGGCATGCCGGAACGCCTCCCTGTTCTGGGCTTCTTGAACGGCGTCCATTTCGAAACACAGGAAAAAAATCTCCCAAAAACCCTATATAGGTTAAAATCTCATAAAACAGAATTAAAGAGCGTAGTGGTATACTATACAGTTAGTGCAGTTTATACATAGAATCTATCGACCCACACCACCCACAGATATTTTCCTAGTGTGGGGACAGTGGGAGAACTTATCTACTATAGAGAGGCAGGAGTCGAAATTGCAAATTGGTATATGTTGCTGTCTAGTGCAATTTGCTTAAAGAAAAAGGAAAATAAAAGCAAAAATTTGGGAAAAAATCATTCATGTGTATTTTTTTCTTTGGAAGAGGAAAAACTAGTAAGAATGCGCNTTCAAAACGATAGAAATTTTATATCAAAAAACACATAAATACATCTAGAACATCTCAAAAGCCGAAAAGACAGCTCAAAAGTTGAATTTAGTGGGAGGACAGATCCAAAGGATCGCCTAAAACGCACCCACTAACAAAATAACACAATGAAACTCCACAACTGGAGAAAGAGCTCCCCTACGGGAGAAAGAACTCCCCAACGGGAGAAAAAGCTCCCCTACGGGAGAAACACACTCCTCTACGGGAGAAACTACTACAAGCTAAACAACAAAACAACACAACACGACAATCCCATTCCCGCAACACTAATGAAATTGTTTGACCGCCACCCCGAATGGCAATCAATAAGCGATCGAGCCCACCCAGGTTAATCATTCAACTCCATCAGTGCCAAAAGACGGGCCTAGGTAAATACATCACAATAACAAAGACACAGACCAACAAACTACAACAAAAAATAAATAAAATGAGAGCCCTTCCCAAGCAGAAAACCACATCGAGTCCAACAATGGCAAAGTCTCGGTCCAGGATCCCAACCCAAAAACTGCAAGAAAACGCCTAACGGAGTCGAAAACCAACGGACCTAACCCTCGTCCAGACGAACAACTCCACTGTCACCCAGAGACGAAGACACCTGGCCTACCAACCCAACCCTGTCCAGCCCTTCCCAGCCCAGCCCAACCTTGCCCAGCACAGCCCAGCCCTGCCCGAACCGGCCCATCCCAGCACGGCCAAGCCCAACCCTTCCAACGAGCACAGAAGCCCAGTCAATCGATCTCCGGCGAACACGATTCCAAAACTCCACACCCACCCTTCCGACGACTGCGAGGCCAAGGTTCAGCACCCGCCGTTAATCGCTGACCACTATGGCTCTAATACTCTGTACCAGGGCCAGGAGAATCCAATTTGGCCAGAATCTAATCTCCACCCCAAACCCTAAATTGGGAAATTGGGGTCGCACCTCGCTCCAAGAGAGCGCCGAAGGCCGCCGCAACGGAGATACCGGAGGAGAACGAAAACCCGCCACACGCTTCCGGCTCCAGAGGCTGAACACCGGAAAACGTCGCGAGCTTCTCCCCGGCGAAAAAGCCCCCTCTAGCGGCGCAACTCTGGGTGGCGAGCCGCGGGGCCCAGAAGAGCCACCGCCGAGCACTCGACGGGCCCTGTCGGGAAGGCAACGAAGGATTTACAGATGAGGGATGCGGGGAAGAAGACGACGGGAAAGATGGATAGGAGCGAGAGTTGGTCTTTTTGTCTCAATTTGAATGGTATCAACTAACAACTTGATGAGCAACCACTCAACTAATAAAGACTTTTTTCACACACTTTCAAGAGGGTTAAAATTTGTCACTTTTTTTGTGTAGACTAGTATCTATTATTATTAATATTATTATTATTATTATTATTATTTAATAGGTATCTTAGAGAATACAATAGAGGTTTAATATTATTATTAAATATTTAGTAAGAGATCTTGTTTTGTTGTACAAGCTAAGAATAGGGTTTAGGAACCTTATATAAGGACTCACTCTAGTTTATTTTGTTTGGTGAATTATGGAATGAAAAGATGAATTGATTCGTGTGTAGATGTTCTTGAGATTGAGATCTCATTGATATCGTATCACTCGTACGCTTCTCTATATTAGTTTTTTTCCCCGAGAATCCTCAGTGTTTAGTTATAATTCTGATTGAGTTAATGATATACTTGAACTGACAGATGGGATATCTTGACAGATCCGAGACTAAGTTTTTGTGGATGTCCGAGATATGCAGAGCATCCTTAAGTTTCAACTCGTTTTCAGAAGTTAGCTTCAACACCATAGTGTCAACTCTAGCCACATCACACGAGCCACATCACACGAGGAGGAGTTGCCCATGTAAAGTTTTCGACCAACAGAAGAAGTGTAGTTCGAAATCAACTCCTTGTCGAAACAGACATGAAGAGTGGAACCAGTATCAATGTAATATTCCCTTGTGTTATCCATTATGTTGGCTTCAAACACCACAACCGATATATCAAGGTCGATTAGTTCACCTGGCACAAGGCCGTGTTCAGCAACGAGGACACTAAGTTGCGCCCTCTTTGACCCAATCTTTTTAGGCTTCTTGGTACTTAGCCATATGGTTTGACTTTCCACAGTTGTAGCACTTGTCGGTAAATTTTCAAACCTCGCCGGGTTGTTTCCCCTTGTTAGAAGCTTCCTTTTGCTCGAGTTTCCTTCCTCCAACAGGTTAGCACGAGCCTCTATCATCGAGGCATTTCCCGAAGACTTACGATTGTCCTCCTCAATCCGAAGACGAACAACCAGGTCTTCGAGACTCATCTTCATCCTCTTATTCTTGAGGTAGTCCTTGAAGTCTTCCAACTGAACAACTGCTTATCGATGACAATCGCAACTTGGAACGACTCGCTCAGAGTCATTCCTTCAGCATGGATGTCGCGCAAGATCAGTTGAAACTCTTGCACTTGGGACACGACGGTCTACGAGTCGATCATCTTGAAGTAAAGAAATTTTCCTACGACGAATTTTTTTGCCCCGAAATCCTCAGAATTGTACTTCTTCTCCAAGGCAGCCCAAAGCTCCTTGGCTGCACCAATCGAGTTGTACATATTGTACAACTCGTTACTCAGTCCATTCAGGACGTAATTTCGGCAAAGGTAATCACCTTGCCCCCAAGCATTGTACGCAACGCATAGTTCAACATTGGTTTCATTTTCAGTCACAACCAAGAGGTCGTCCTTTAGGTACCTCACCAAACCTAAGGTGGTTTAGATGAAATACATATTGTGTTGCCACCTCTTAAAGTCAAACCCATTGAATTTATTGGGCTTTTTAGCAGTTGGGACATGAACAGCAGGTACGAGATGATGATGATGATGAACAACGGTGTTGATCGGTTGCTACTTCTGTTGAGTTTGCGAACCTTTTCCGGTGGATGCCATCATTTCAGTAGGTGTGAATAATTGCGATGTTTACAAATCTAATTGTTGAATACACGGGAACCTATAAACTGAAGTCTGTACAGAGATTTTTTTTCTTGTGAGTAGTAATCCTCTTCTGGCTCTCTCTCATTTATGTTTTCTTCCAGCTCGTCAAACCACCTTTTTATGTAGTTTTTTGTCTTTTCTTATTTGGTCTTCTTTATTAAGGGTATGTTTGCATAACTAAAGTCTTACAATATAAACTAAAACAGAGAACAAATACGCCTCGTATAGTACTAACGTAGTTAATACTGTAGCCCCAATCATGGCTATGTGCATCTTGTCCCCAAAGATACAACGACTATTAACTCGAAAATTGTAGCACACCTGACTTCAGAGCTCCCACGAATACGAATAGAGTCGAGAATTGAGGAATGTATATGATATGCTACCTAAGGTTTTCAATAGAGCGTGAGATGCATATATATGTCTTATGTATCTTTTGTAGCTTATACACTGTCCTATTTATAGGACTTTCAACCCAAGTGGGAGATGACCTCTGGTTTTTAGCTTGTACCAACCCAGTATCGAGGTCTCACATGGGTTGCGTCAAAACCCGAGTCCAACCCCTACTCGGTTTGGATTTTATCTTGGGTTATAGAAACTGGGCCCAAGGCCCAAGCCCAGCACCAAGCTCAAGCCCAAGCTCGCCTTAGTCCAGTCTACGATTCAATTGTCAAGTATCAAGGCCAAGGCCCGTGCCTGTGTCTGAGCTGAGCCGACCGACGAACGCGCGCATGTGGCCGTACCCAATACCAACACTTGGTGCATAGCTTTGTTGTTGTTCTTGTAACATCTTCAACTCTCTTTATTATAATTAAGAGAGTTAATCTCGTTTAAGAGTCCAATGAGGGAAACGACTATTGACCTTTCGAATATGACAACCATCGTTTTACTTGCCAATTTATGGCTAACTTTAATCATTTATTTCTAATTCCTAGAAAATTAGTTTTAAAAAAAAATATACCACGAGTATCTTCTCGAAACGTGAATTTCCTGCACAATTAATTCAATTCGAATTTAATATTAGTCATAAAAAAATCAGTCAAAATAGGGTCAAACTCAAGTTTTTATAACTAATTTTTCCAACAAAAGGTAATATTCATTTTTTTACTTAAATCAATGCAATCCTATTATACTGCAATTAAAAAAATTATTATTATAATGTATTTTCTATAGAAAAACCCACAAAAGATATTATTTATTCACACATTTTATGATCAATAGATGCTATATCAGTTTTCTATTAAATTAATTTATAAACTCTTTGCTTAGTCATATATTTCTAACTATAATATATGACCTATCAATGGTTGATTATTTTATATCAAATTAATTCTAATTAGTTCATTTTTAACTTATACCTTTTTATACTCTCAAATTAATAAAATATTAAAATAATTTAATTAGCACATTTTTACCTTAGGACTAAGAAGGGACCATTCTTCTTAGTTAGTCTAAGTTAATAAAACAACTATTTTCAATTTTTTTCGAAGGATAATTTTTTAGTAAAATCATTACATTCATAATCCCACGTGACCAATGACCAATCCACAGCGGGTCTGGGTTTTGTTTGATACAGACACGTCAGCATAATATATCAGACACGTAGTAGTCTCGCTCGCTGACACGTGTGTCACCCGCAAAAAGACGCCACAACGTGGGCCCACCACCAAACCCTTTAAAACCTCTCTCCTCATAGCCCTAAAGCCCGAACACACACACTGCACACACACTACACAGTACACACACTTCTGTTTCCCTTGATGAAGTCCTTTATCTTCCACCGATAAGGAATCAATTTAGACGCCACTGATCAATTCTTCATCGCTGGTATGAAATTTTGAAAAACCCTCCTTATTCATCGCAGACAAGGTCATGGGTTTTTGATTAGTTGTGGTTTGTGGGGATTATGGTTATCTGCTGATTTGTAGTTTGATTATGATGATAATGGTGTGGTGAATTGTTATTTTGTCGGTGGACAGTATTGTGGATGGTTTTAACGTTTTTTCACCTTTTTTTTGGCAGCAGCCTTTTTTTCATCATTTTCTTTTTTTTGTTAATTCTGTTGATTTGATTTTGTTTTTTGGATGATTTTAGTGGAAAGTTTTTTTTTTTCTTTTCTTTTTGGGATTTCTAGAGATGAGAATAATGAAATCTTGAAGTTGGTTCTGACATGGGATGTTGGTGCCTCTGAAAGTGTCTTTATTTGCAAGTAAAGAAATGCGAAATGATTCTACAATTTTCTGAATTTGATGCGTTTTGGGACTGCTTACATGCTTTTGATCCTTGTTTATTTATCCATGTGTGTGTATTATAAAAGTTTCTGTATGTCTGTACATGTGCAAGCATCTCACTGGTTTGCTTCTTATTTATGAGATAATTACTTGGTGAGTATGAAATTCCCCAGCTTGACGTACGAGCATCTCGTACCTGCCCGAATTCAAGAGTGAAAACAAGAGGCTGTGCGTGGATTTAAACCACTTAGCAGATCCCAACACCGATGCATATTTTGAGACGACAAGTCTGCCTTCACTAGTGTCTCGAACCCAAATCTTGAGGTGACCATGAGAGAACTTCAGCTTCACATTTTAACTGATGGAAGTAACACTGTCCCTGCTGATTGTTTGGTGAATTACCCGAAACTAGAGTCTCACATGAATTTCATGCCACAATCGTGTGAGTCGGCCGCAGGGTATCCTATAAGGCTACATGGAACGGAAGCTAGAAATAGAAAAATCAGTAGCTTACCTATAAGTTCTTCGCCTTCTTTAGAACGTGACACCTCATCCTATTTGCCTCTTCTAAATAGCTCTCAGCAAATTGTCGATGATGATTTTCTTAGTCTTGGAATAGGAGGTGGTATGGAAATCAAATCCAATAGTAAGTTCAGTACTCGAGAAATTGCTAGTCAATTGAAGGATCCTCTGTCCTCACAGTGTATGAATCCTATCAATGCGCAAAGTCCAATGAACAGTTCGAGTCTTACTCCATTTGTAGGGTTCCAAACCGATGATGGTGGATTATCAAGCTCATTATTGTCTCGTGATAATGGTGTACTTTATGGGAACACTAGTTCAAGGATAAATGAAATCCAATTTCCTGGTTTCCAGGCTTCACAATCTAATCTGCAGTCTAACTTTTTAGCCACATATGATGATTTTGGATTTAATCTGGATTCATCTTTGTTGCCTTCCGGAATTCCTGTAGTCCCTCAATGTGGATTTGTCAATCAGAGTCCATTGTGGACTCGAATACCTACGCCCACATCTTTTGCAAGTCAAGTTAATCCCCTGCAACAACAGTACATCAGAAGAAGTTCCATAAATGCCTCGTCTGAATCTTCATTGGATAGAGGAAGCTCCATGGGTCATGCACAACGAGGTGAGTCTCTCTCTCTCTTAGGCTGAGATGAACCTTTTATTACAGTAACTTTAGAACATGACTTCATCTATGTGTTTATCTTTACTTTCACTTTCAAAGTAATGTAAATTTACTGTAATTGTCACCTGAAGTCGCCAAGCTAGTCAATTGAAAATATGCTTAAGAAAATTTTGTAAGGCAGAGAAGCTTGATGTATCTTTGTCTAGGGTGGAGATGCTAAAATTATCTTATTGGTAGAATATGAGAACCATGACAGGGTATTTGATTCCCGAAAATCATTTCTTCTTATATAAAGCTTTTTCTATCGTCTTATTTTTGCAGAAAGATTAAGTCCTTTGGCAGAGGCTAGAAGGCCACAAAATACTGTTGGTGGTTGTTTTTTAGGGAGTGGTCAACCCGTGGGTAAGGTTCAATTTCACTTTCATAAGCACCTGTACATTAAAGACAATTGTTCCCCAGATTTTGATTAATAGGTAGGATAAGTTAATGAGAGAAGGATATGCATGTGAGGTCAACTTGTTAGAAATTTCCACTGGTCCACTGGTACTCTCCCTAAGTCACTATTATTTTTCCACAGATATTTTTATTTTTTTCTTTTCATTTTTTCCCTTTCTCCGTGAAGGAATCATATCATTGCAAGCAGAAGGTACCGGTGATGGAGTCACTAACAGTTTTCCTTCGCCATCAAGTTTCCAGCCAGCTGGTATGTGCATTTGCTTTTGCAGATATTATGATCACTTACCAAAAGTTATATTCATGTTTCTTTTTTCCTTAATATATATACCCCACCTTCACCTATTTCTTGCTTGACGCGTCAATTGACACTGTGGCACTAAATATAAGTTTCAGAATTTGAAAAGTTTCTAAAATGGGGACCAATTTGCTTAATGTGATTGCTACATAACTCTAGTTTTTGAGTCATCTGGAACTTCTTCTGTGAGTCTAATTTCTATCTGGGAGTATTGCAGACTGGACAACCCTTAGTGGTTAATGAGGTAGCCAAAAGTATAATGTTGTCCTTTTGGACGACAGGCAAATTGATTATTTGTTGACGCAACGGTTTTGTGGTATAAAAACCTCATCGGTGCTATGATTTAGTAAAAGTGGAACAAGTACCAATAAAAAATCATTAAAATTCTTTAATCGTAAAGTCGGAGATTCTTGTAAATAGTACTTGCCCAGTATTAAACTTTCTTTCAAACAAGCATTTTCAAGTAATCATTAGGTTCCCGTGAGCTTAGTTAGCAAATAAGTTTTATTGTAATTGAAATGCTTTGGTCTTATTGACTGCTCTGGTGTGTTGATGTGTATAATGATGAGTCTCCTTCCCTTCCTCTCTTTGCTTCTTTTTTCCCTTCTCAAAACCCAGGGCAAGCACCTTCTTCTCATAATGTTAGCTCTATTGCTGGGATTAGCTCAATAGCTGAGATACTTGCTAACCCAAATCCAATAGTCAACCCTATTCCGTTCCCGTATGCTGCTGCTGGTACTTTCTCTACAAATATTGGTGTTCAACCTACTGCGCCTACTGCCCGAACCATCGAAGGTCTGTTTTCTGAAATTAGTTAGAAACATAAGTAGCTAGATATGATTTGTAGCTATATTTATTTTGAAATTATTTTTTTTTTCTTTCATGAAAAATTGGGGTAATAAATGATGAAAGTTGAATTTCACTTGGAACATTCTTGCACCAAAGTGCAGTTTCTACTGGACTGCTTTTGGAAACATGTAACAGATGTGTGGGCTTATATATGTACTATATTGTTGACAATTTTATGCCGAGAAAGAATTATTTAATACAGGAAANAAAAAAAAAAAAAACAGATAAAAACAATGCTACAACTAGGGAACACACAAGTTGGTTTAGGCCTTGCTAATCATAACAGGTTCATGTGACCTGCACTAACTGAAATTCGGTCTTTTCCAATGTAAATTCTTTAATATTATGCTTATTTGATCCATATAGGCCGGCATCAGCGTGGAGCACCGGCTCAAGTGCCTACTGTTTCTCCAAGACGTGATTACTCGATAGGTATACATTTTTCATCTGTTTTATATTTTTATTGAAAATTAGCAGTGGCGTAATTTGTGTGGTTTTATGTTTGTAAATATATCCAACTTTACAGGTGAGGCTACTCCATCTGCAAGACACGGTGTTGGGTCCCACGGTGTTGTTTCTCATTCACATTTGAAAAGACAAGCAACTACAAACACATTAAGTGAACACTTGATTCAACGTAGGAGGATAACTCCTCAACCTGCTCTTACGGATAAATTGGCAACCGGCAAAAGGCCGAGTTCTCCTGCTATTCGAACTCCTACTGTTATAGATAAATTGGCAACCAGCAAAAGGCCGAGTTCTCCTACTCGAGCTCCTATAACCGCAATTAATCGAATTCCACCAGAAGCCCATTTTCATATAAGATGGGAAGGTAGTAGTCAATAAATTCAAATGTTTCGTGTTCTGCTAATTATTTCCTGAAATATCATAAAAAAATTAAGGAACAATACTTCGTTATCTAAAAAATTACTGTGTCTTTCTCTCTATTTTTTCAATCATTATTTGTTTATTTATTGCATTTTTTCCCCCTTTATAGGTTGTGATGAACCTCTTGAGCCAAGTGGGCATAAGTGTTTCCTGTGCAAGAGGGATATCTCGTTTACAGCCGATGGCCAAATGTACCAGCCTCTGATCCCACCGGCTGCTGCAGTTCTACCTTGTGGCCACACTTTTCATGACGGTTGTTTGCAGAAGATCACTACCCAAGGCTGTTCGAAATATCCTCCTTGCATTCCTTGTGCACTTGGCGAAAAATGATCCCGGTTGCCTGTGATTTATACTCATTAAGTTTTTCTGCAGATAGAGAGAGAGAGAGATTTAATTTGCGGAAGGAGCTAGGTATAGTTCATGGAACTGTACATAGTAGATTAGGGATTCCATTATTAGGAATTTTACTCAAATAAGGCTATGACAAAGAGATAAAGAGGTGCTGGCTAAACTTCGCAATTTCGCATTGACCTAATAAGAAAGCCAGCTTTTATTTGTAATTGCGACTTAATCCCGCCAAAGTTGGAATGGTCATAAAATTATTAGCCTACTTGCATATAATTTCAGCTTAATTCCATCAAAGTTGGACTGATCAAAAGAAGTGATTAGCCTAAATGGTGCAATAGTTTTACGTAATGTGTATTCTGTTTTAAGTGCCTGGATCATATAATAGTAACAAGAGATTGCGTAATGATCGATTCAAAATTGAGTTGAAAACCAATAGCAAAACCATAATCCTATTTGATTTCTCATTACGTATCAACGCATTTATTTAAAAAAAAAAAATAAAAAAAATGCTGCAAGTCTATAAAGATATTACAATCAACTTGAAAGAGTAACAGAGGAAACTATAATAACATCATAAGCTAAACATATATATAATGAATGTGTGACATAAACTCAGCAGTAGGGCGTATCAACAGCAGATACAATGAATGTGAAACTAACAACAGAGGAAAAAAATCAGAATTTTCAGGTCTAGCACTAGCTCTGTATCTTAATCTCAGTTTACAAGTAATCTCATCACATTCACTGCATGAACACTACTCTTTTCAAAATTACCAACCGGACAATGCCGTCTGTATTCCCACCCCTCTCGCAAAGCCACATCATTGTCTTCTCCCTCCGAACCACACGATTGCTCGTCATCCCAACTTTCCGCATCCTCCTCGTGCCCGCAAGAAAACGAATCCGATGATTCATCAGAACACGAGCTGTCATCCACATCACTCTCCGAATCCAACAACACACACTCACAATTGTCAAACTCGTTCACACAATAATAATCCAAGTCACTACCCAAACCATCGAGAAACGGGTGTTCCAAAAGCAGCTCGGCTGTCAGCCTGTACAAAGGCTTCCTCTCGAAACAACACCTCAGAAAATGCCGCGCGTCCTTGGGTACCTCGTTGGGAACTTTCGGAATTTCCAATCCAGACCCTAACTTTTCCAGAATTTCCTCCTTGCTCCTCCCTTCCCACGGTGCCTTCCCAGTCAGCATCTGAAGCACGACGCAACCGAGCGCCCAAATATCAGAAACGGCCTCCTGCTCGTCCCCTGTCACGGCCTCAGGGGATAAGTACATAGGCGTGCCTCTCCAGCGACAAGCCTCCTCCCCGAATTTCCTCTTCTTGCAATTTGACCGTTTTGCCCTCTTTGCCAGCCCAAAATCCCCGATTTTTGCGGTGAATACGGTGCCAGTCGTCCTGATTTTTCGGTTTCTTGGCACGAGTAGAATATTACTCGGCTTTAGGTCACAGTGGACGTAACCCGACCCGTGAATATGGTACAAGCCTCTGAGAAGGGATCGCGTGTACATCTTCACCTCGATTATCGGCAGCCCTCGGCCGCCGGAATTATTAATCCGGTGGGCTAGGGTTCCACCGGCAGCGTACTCGAGCAGTAGATTATACGCTGACGTGGCAGAGTCCCCCTGAGTCAGCTCGTCTCCATAGCACCGGACTATGTTGGGGCACGCCTTCATGAGGGTCAAGATTTGCTTCTCCTTATGTAGCGTGTCGGAATATGAAACTTGGGCGGATTTCACAGCCAGCTCAGGCGGGTGGCAGCTGTTTTCCGAGCGGCCGTCTCTGAGAGTTGCCTTGTAAACGCGCCCGAAAGCACCTTTCCCCAACAGAGGGCCCCGAATCCATGAAACTCCGTCTCCAAAGTCGTTGGCGTCCTTTTCTCGAGCGAGATCGTCTCTTTTCACTGCCATTCTTCTTGCTTTTCTTCACCGAACTTAGAAAAAAAAAATAACGATAAGAAACAAAGTTTGTGTGTGTGGGCTGAACTCGAAAACTGGATATGATTAGGGTTGATACCAAAAGAACAAATAAGAAGATGCGTTTTCTTGACTCGCAAGTATTTAGTTGTATGAGATTATTTGCTTAGTGATCTAATCATCTAAACGATGAGAGATCGAATGCGTGTTCTTGATTACACGTACGTGAGAGAAAAGTAGTGTTGTCCAAGGAATTGCTAGCTTTTTTGTTACGTCGGTTTGTTTGATTATTAGTTATCAACGTCATAATGGTTTGTGCGCCGCAAATGATAAAATGAGTTTTTTTTTTCTTTCTTTTTTTTTTTTCTTCAGTCANTGGAAGTTTTCTTTCTACTCAACTACTGCGTAGCGGGTAAACAATATTAAATGTTAGTTATAAATTAAAGATATAAATAAATAATATTAAATAATAATGTGGATTAACATGTAATATAATTTACAAGTAATGCTAAGGAATCAACTGTTGGCTCCATTACGTACGGAGCCAATAACCGAGTATATTTTATTGTAAATAATATAAAATTATTGTATAAAAGAACATAAAACATGTATTTGGATACAAGCAGTTAGTTTTTTTAACGTTAGGAAAAAGATATGAGTGCAAGTACATGCTGAGCATATTTCCCAAAAAGATGTGAGTGCAACATATTTTGAAAATTAGTTTTTTTACCGTTTGCAAGTACACGTCAGCAAGCAAAATAAATATTTAGATACCAGAATTATGAATACAAAACACGTCACGTGAGTACAAAATGTATTGAAAATTAGTTTTTTTATGTTTAGTAATTTATGCACAATAAATATTTAGATACCCGAATTATCAATAGAAATAAAGTACAAAATATTTTTTATTAAAAAGACGTACAAAATAGTTTGAAAATCTATGGCCGAACTACTTTTGTTCAATTAAGTTCAAATTTAGCTGGTCTGAAAATCTGTGGCTGAACTACTTATTCAATTAAAAAATTATCTTTTTTTTCTTAGCTATCCACGCCTAGATTTATGTTTATGGGTTGGACTTATAAAATAATTATTAAGATTATGTTAAGGATAAGCATCACAAAGTTCTGTACAAACTGTTTTTGAAAACATGGTTAGTACGCTGGCGAGATTCATGCAGTTGACCTAAAAAAATGAATATTGCATTTAATACTCCATCTTTTATTTCTATTTATAGTATATAATTATTTTTTTTTTGGCGGGAATTACTTTCTAAATGTAGTAAATAGTAATTCTTATTATATATATATA